AATGAGGGAAGGAGATGTACCGTCAGTACTGGATCTAGTATTCACCAGGAAAGAAGAAGAGATTTTTGACATCCAGTACCTTCCTCCCTTGGGAAAGAGTGATCACGTCCTGTTAGACATTAAATATGCTTTAAGATATCATCTAGAAGAAAATGGGGACATTGAAACAGTTGATAAACTCGATTTAAGGAGAGGCAACTATGGGGAACTTCGAAATTTTTTTAATGAGTGTAATTGGACAGAATTGTTGCTAGGCAGGGAAGTAAATGAAATGTATGCCAAATTTTTAAAACTATACGAGGAAGGCACACAAACATTCATACCAAAACAGAGATGCAGGGCCAGAAAACAGGATTGGTTCGACAGAAATTGTGAGAGGGCAAGAGACCAAAAGACACAAAAATGGAATCAGTATAGGAAGAGGCCAAACCCCCAAACATACCAGCGATACAAAGATGCGAGAAACAACTATACAGCAGTAAGGAGAGAGGCAGAAAGAAATTTTGAAAAAGGGATAGCAGATAAATGTAAAACAGAACCGGGCCTATTCTACAAATTCATAAACAACAAATTGCAGGTAAAGGATAATATCCAGAGGTTGAAAATGGGAAACAGATTCACGGAAAATGAAAAGGAAATGTGTGAAACATTAAATGAAAAGTTCCAAAGTGTGTTTGTACAAAATGAAATCTTCAGAGAACCAGACACAATAAGAATTCCAGAGAACAACATAGAGCGGATAGAGGTGTCTAGAGATGAAGTGGAAAATATGCTAAAGGAGCTCGGGAAGAACAAAGCAGCTGGCCCAGATGGCGTTTCACCATGGGTTCTGAGAGAATGTGCATCTGAGCTCAGCATTCCACTTCACCTGATCTTTCAGGCATCCCTGTGTACAGGAATCGTAGCAGACGTGTGGAAACAGGCTAACATAGTTCCAATCTACAAAAGTGGCAGCAGGGAAGACCCCCTCAATTATAGACCTGTATCATTGACAAGTGTAATAGTGAAAGTATTGGAAAAGCTAATCAAAACTAAATGGGTAGAACACCTGGAGAGAAATGATATAATATCAGACAGACAGTATGGTTTTCGATCTGGAAGATCCTGTGTATCGAATTTACTCAGTTTCTATGATCGAGCCACAGAGATATTACAGGAAAGAGATGGTTGGGTTGACTGCATCTATCTGGACCTAAAAAAGGCTTTCGACAGAGTTCCACATAAGAGGTTGTTCTGGAAACTGGAAAATATTGGAGGGGTGACAGGTAAGCTTCTATCATGGATGAAAAATTTTCTGACTGATAGAAAAATGAGGGCAGTAATCAGAGGCAATGTATCGGAATGGAGAAATGTCACAAGTGGAGTACCACAGGGTTCAGTTCTTGCACCAGTGATGTTTATTGTGTACATAAATGATCTACCAGTTGGTATACAGAATTATATGAACATGTTTGCTGATGATGCTAAGATAATAGGAAGGATAAGAAATTTAGATGATTGTCATGCCCTTCAAGAAGACCTGGACAAAATAAGTATATGGAGCACCACTTGGCAAATGGAATTTAATGTTAATAAATGTCATGTTATGGAATGTGGAATAGGAGAACATAGACCCCACACAACCTATATATTATGTGAGAAATCTTTAAAGAATTCTGATAAAGAAAGAGATCTAGGGGTGGTTCTAGATAGAAAACTATCACCTGAGGACCACATAAAGAATATTGTGCAAGGAGCCTATGCTATGCTTTCTAACTTCAGAATTGCATTTAAATACATGGATGGCGATATACTAAAGAAATTGTTCATGACTTTTGTTAGGCCAAAGCTAGAATATGCAGCTGTTGTGTGGTGCCCATATCTTAAGAAGCACATCAACAAACTGGAAAAGGTGCAAAGACATGCTACTAAGTGGCTCCCAGAACTGAAGGGCAAGAGCTACGAGGAGAGGTTAGAAGCATTAAACATGCCAAAACTAGAAGACAGAAGAAAAAGAGGTGATATGATCACTACATACAAAATAGTAACAGGAATTGATAAAATCGACAGGGAAGATTTCCTGAGACCTGGCACTTCAAGAACAAGAGGTCATAGATTTAAACTAGCTAAACACAGATGCCGAAGAAATATAAGAAAATTCACTTTCGCAAATAGAGTGGTAGACGGTTGGAACAAGTTAAGTGAGAAGGTGGTGGAGGCCAAAACCATCAGTAGTTTCAAAGCGTTATATGACAAAGAGTGCTGGGATGACGGGACACCACGAGCGTAGCTCTCATCCTGTAACTACACTTAGGTAATTACACTTAGGTAATTACACACAGTGTACACATGCACATGTGTACAAATACACGTGAAAAGAAAATTACAAGCCGCCGACCAGTGGGCAGAGAGCACCACGCCGGCCAGGCGAAGAAGGCACAAAACTGAACCAAAAGGCCTACCTCGACAAGAAAATCCCAAAGTCCCAGCACGACCACAACACGTGCCATGACCCAAAAAGATCGGTCTGCAAGCCAGAAAGACCCCGGAACCTCAGACGGCAGAACCGGGTCACACACGAGGAAACAAAGCCCCCTGAACCCACAAAGGGGGCCCAAGAGGAAGAAACCTCCGGAACGAAACCAAAGAACAGCACGCTGGACTTGTGATCCTGTGGTCCAAAGGAACCCGGAATCGAACCAGGGGTCAGCTGTCAGCCCAAACCACCATGCCCTGAAATTTGCCAAGCGGAGATGGGGAGCCCAAACCACCACACACCACAGAAAGGCAAAGCACAGCCCCCAGACAGAACCCCCAGGGAAACGGTCAAAACAGACCGAAAACCGAGGGACAAGGTGTGGGAGCAAGCATAACAGACAGGGACATTGAGCCAAAACCCTAGGGGCCCAGACCCAAAACAGACAAAATGCAAAACCCGGTGTAAAATCAACTCTCAAACGTTCCCAGAGGAACAGGAAACGGGCAGAAAACACCAGAAAAGCAAAGAAACGACAACAGGAGAATAAAACCCCTGAAAAAGGTGAAAAACTCATCCAAGACGCTCGCTCGCACACCCAGGCGCATGTAAACAAACCGCAACGCTGCCCTGGTGGCCACGCCGGGAAACCGGCAGAAGAAAATAGCCACCAGAACAGAGGGCTGTGGCCGACGCAAAAGATACGAAAACACGCCAGCAAAAGTGGAAAGCAAGCAGACTGGACGAGCGAAAAACTCCGCCCAGAAGCAGAAAAACCAGGCAGGGAGCAAACCGCCCCAGAACTGCTAGCAGGCATCCCCCACAGCCCGGGGAACCCACAACAGAGGCCTCGGGGCAGAGCCGTCCTCCAAGCCCTCCGCCCTTAAAGAAAAGGATGGGAAAGGCAGCAAGAAAGGGCCACTGGTAAGACCCAGAAGCCTTGGCAGGAGGAACAGGCTCAAAAACCTCCGTCCCCAACCTGAACGGGGCAGCCCCTGAAAACCGCCAGAGTCTCGGCCCCAACTAAACCCCGCCCCGACCCCAAAACCCGCAGACGGTCCAGAGCCGGGAACAGGGAGGGAAAGGGGCGAACAGCACCTAACCAAAACGGAGCGACCCCGGGGCATCCGAGTGGGAAACCAACGTAGCATGTTGCAGCAACCTAACCTAGCTTGCAACACGGATGCTGCCTGTACTCTGAACAGTAATAACATCAAGAGAGTACTGGAGAACAAGCAGAGAATACCTCTCGCAAGACTCCGGGTCAAGGTGTCAGTGACCCAACAGGCAACATGACGGAGGTAAAAGTGGCGACTGTCACCCGGAGACGAGGGCACAGCAACCAACGAACCCGTACAAGACGGGTTGGAACCCGGAAGACACATTCAATGGTCCACCGAGCCCAGACAGGGGTTTCCAGGGCCCGTAGGCTGACTGCTACGGGAAGCCTGGGCAAGGTGTTGCTAACCGGTTAAGAAACCCCCAAAATAACAAGGGGGCAGAGGACAACACTGAAAACCCCTGCGACGTGTACAATCACGGGGGCCTAGCAGAGGGCCACCAAACACTACCAGTGGAACTATAGCCACACTAGCCAGACCCCCACCAGGCAAATGAAAATAAAAACAAAAACAAAAAAACCCTGCAAAAGTACACCGTCTCCAGAGGCAACAGGAACCGGTCGCCGCTTAGGTGGCAGGTCACGCAACACCTTGACGCCTTAACCAGCACAATACCAGTCCCTTCCCAGGGCCAAACAAGGGCCCGAAGCCCCAGCTGGCCCTAAGGGCGAGGCAAATGCCGAGCAACAAGAACATCTACGGGAATGCTTCTCGAACGCCCCAGGGAAGATAACCCTGTCACGCAGGGGCAGTACTCACAGGGCGCTTAGGGAAGGAAGCCCCTAAGCACATGCAGCCCCGGTACTGATGAAGATCTCCTGGCCACCGCACAGCACAACACATGGCAGTGAACGCCACACAAGGCAAACACCGCCTAGGAAACTGAGGCCAGAGAAGCATCTATCCTGGTTGACATTAGCTTACGAACTGATGCTAGGAAGCCGGCGCGGTAGGTTCGGGGCTCCCCCCTCCCCCTCTTAGGGCGGGGAGGGCTGCACGGACGATCAGCGCGGCAGTAAAGTGTGATATTTGCTTGTTTGCTTGTTTCCTTGGGATTGTAGGGAGTTTCTACCTCTCTGTTCGTTTTTTTGTTTTAGTTTTTTACCATGTGGGGTTTGTTTTGTTATGCCTACCTTTCTGGGTGCCTAACCCTATTCGAGGGCAGATAGGAAAACCCCAACCACAAGGGGGTTTTCCAGGGTCATTGCTCCCTGAAACCTCTCTGAAGGGGCCAAATTCTGGCGCTGGTCCCTGATAGGTCTGAACTCCTTAGCTAATGTCTCGGTCTAGTATAACATACATTAGCCCGATAAGCTCCAGGGAGCCGTAGGGGCTCCCCACAGAAAGAGATAATTTTGTTTATTATACATCCAAAAGCAATTAAATAAAACAGTACTGCATGAATTTTAATTTAAATACTGTATAATAAGAAAAGGGGCATTATAACTAGCCATTAGCAAAACTGGGAAGATGGAATACAGTATATAAGAACAAAACTGAAAATAGAAATTATTATTATCTACATCACAGACTGTGTTGTTTAAAACTACCTTTTTTTGTGAATCATCATACAGTAAAAATCAAGTTTTAGGTTGAAGATCATTTCATGATCAGGTGATCAGTTTGTGATTTTGTTTTATTTTCTCAAATATAACCCACTGATACTTTGACACGTCTGTGGTTGTTCTTTTCTCTACCCCTACTAAAATAATCTCTGCAATATGTTCAAACCCCAAAAATGCCTAATTATACAGACCTGAAAGCATAAGTACGCTGGTGCCAGAAGAGCTGTCCTCTAACAGAATACGCAATTGCTGTTACAAATTCACCTCCCAGACCAAGTTCAGAACATAATTTGGTGGCAAAATCTTCTGGTGTATTTTCCGGCGAAGCCATATCCCATTCAAACTGATCGTTGAGGGAAATATTGCCAACATGGATATTCAGCTGCAACAGACAAAAACGTACAAATTAAATTAATCAAGATATATAAAACTTTACTATCTTGTTACCTCCAAGACTTTCCTTCACTTGAATGGATAACATGCATTGCAAATTTTATCTGATTTCTATGTGAAAAACACTACCTGTGCCCTTTAACCCACCCATTGTTTACAGATGGTTTTCCATAGTTGGGGCCCAAGAACCTTGTTTGGCTTATTGAGGTCCCTTACACCAACGATTGACCTCTTCCAGGATGAAACCCACAAGAACTGTTTAATTTCAGGGTACATATAAACTCCTAGGTGAACAAAGGTATCAGAAAGGGAAACATTCCTCAAGTGTCTGTCCTTTCCACAGGAATTGAACCTAGAAGTTTCGGCCTGTGACTTAACTGCACTGCTTATAAGTCAAGTCAGGTGTCTGGTTACATTTTGTAGAAAACAAACGCATACACCTAGAGAATAATAACAATAATGTACAGACATTATGGTTTGACTGTGTCTATCTAGACCTAAAAAAAAGCCTTTGGTAAGTCCCACACAAGAAGCTGTTACAGAAACTGAAACCTGCTTGGGGGGGGGGAGGTGACAGGGTCTGACATGGATGAAAATTTTTCTAACTGACAGAGAGATGAGACAATGTATCTGACTGGAGGAGTGTTACTAGTGGAGTACCACAGGGTTTAGTTCTTGCACTAGTAATGTTCGTCTACATAAACCATCTACCAGAAGGAATACAGAATTATATGAACATGTTTGTGGCTGATGCTAGGTTACTGGGGAAGATAGGAGATGCAGACGATTGTAATGTCCTTCAAATTGATATGGATAAAGTAAGTGTTTGGAGTGTCAAGTGGCAAATATGAATTGCCATGTTATGGAATGTGGCATTGGAGAATATAGACCACACATACAACTTACAAATTATGTGGAAAGGAATTACAGAACTCTAATAAAGAACAAGCCCTGGGGGTGGTTTTGGATAGTAAGCTGTTGCCAGAGGAACACACAAAGAACATTGTGAGAGGAGCGTATGCGTTGCTTTCCAACTTCAGACTTGCTTTTAATTATATGAATGGTGAAATGGTAATAAAACTGTTCATGACTTTTGTGAGACCAAAGGTTGTATGCAGCAGTTGAATGGTGCCCAAATCTCAAGAAGCACATAAATTAACCGGAAAAGGTACAATGGCATGCTACAAAATGGCTTCTGGAACTGAAAAATAAGAGTTATGAGGAGAGACTGGAGGTGTTAACCCGTAAAATGCACAACACATCAATAGCTGTGGTAACTGTTGCAGAATTGCGCACCATAGCTATTGATGTGTTGGAGTATCGTGCAAGATTTAAGAGTCCTGTAGCTACATGGGGTTCACATCAGCTTCCTCAGGGCTCTTGTAAACAGACACTAGAGGTATCCACTCGATTTAACGGCCTATATGGGGCTGTACCCTGGTCGTTATTTCCGGAGCTCCGGTATTTCCGAAGTTAAGTGTCGGTAATTTTTCAAGTAACATTCAGGTAAGATATATTTTGTACAGACTGCCACTGGGTCCACCACTCTTAGTGCCTTCTACCCTGTGACGTCACAGATTCACGGCACATTGTTTTGATTTGTCACAAGACTGTTGTGTTCATTCCGTGACTTTGTTGGACATATCTGCACAATAAAGGAACATCCGTGCACCATGTTGGCTCCAAATACACTCATTGTGTCAGTGATGGCTGACTGGTGGGTGGATAGGCAGGCAGGTAGGGATGGAGAGGCTGAAATGTAGGCAGGTAGGCAGGGAGAGGCTGGGAGGTAGGCAGGGAGGGAGAGGCAGGCAGGCAGAGCTTGCGGGGGAGGCAGGTAGGGAGAGGCAGGCAGGCAGAGCTTGCGAGGGAGGCAGGTAGGGAGAGGCAAGGAAGGAGGGAGGGAGGCAGGCAGGCAGGCAGAGCATGGGAGGGAGAGGCAGGGAAGGAAGGAAGGAAGGAAGGAAGGAAGGAAGGAAGGAAGGAAGGAAGGAAGGAAGGAAGGAGGGAGGGAGGGAGGGAGGGAGGGAGGGAGGGAGGGAGGGAGGGAGGGAGGGAGAGGAGAGAGGGAAGGAGGGAGGGAGAGGAGAGAGGGAAGGAGGGAGGGGAGAGGAGGGAGGGAGGGAGGGAGGGAGGGAGGGAGGGAGGGAGGGAGAGGAGGGAGGGAGGGAGGGAGGGAGGGAGGGAGGGAGGGAGGGAGGGAGGGAGGGAGGGAGGGAGGGAGGGAGGGAGGGAGGAGAGGAGGGAGGGAGAGGAGGGAGGGAGAGGAGGGAGGGGGAGGAGGGAGGGAGGGAGGGAGGGAGGGAGGGAGGGAGGGAGGGAGGGAGGGAGGGAGGGAGGGAGGGAGGGAGGGAGGGAGGGAGGGAGGGAGGGAGGGAGGGAGGGAGGGAGGGAGGGAGGGAGGGAGGGAGGGAGGGAGGGAGGGAGGGAGAGGAGGGAGGGAGAGGAGGGAGGGAGAGGAGGGAGGGAGAGGAGGGAGGGAGAGGAGGGAGGGGAGGAGGGAGGGAAGGAGGGAGGGAAGGAGGGAGGGAAGGAGGGAGGGAAGGAGGGGAGAAGGGAGGGAAGGAGGGAGGGAAGGAGGGAGGGAAGGAGGGAGGGAAGGAGGGAGGGGGAGGGAGGGAGGGAGGGAGGGAAGGAGGGAGGGAGGGAGGGAAGGAGGGAGGGAGGGAGGGGAGGGAGGGAAGGAGGGAGGGAAGGAGGGAGGGAGGGAAGGAGGGAGGGAGGGAGGGAGGGAGGGAGGGAGGGGAGGGAGGGGAGGGAGGGGAAGGAGGGAGGGAAGGAGGGAGGGGATGGAGGGAGGGTGGGAAGGAGGGTGGGAAGGAGGGTGGGAGGGAGAGAGGGAGGAATCGATGGATGGATGGATGGAGGGAGGGAGGGAGGGAAAGAGGGAGGGAGAGAGGGAGGGAGGGAAACCGGATCAACTCAAAGCGCGTCCATGGACACATAAGTCGTCCACGGACGGCAGAGGGCCGCAACCGGACGCAACGCATGATGCACCCCCGGCCTGACCAACCAAGCATCAACAACCCTAGGACCCCTTCCAGAAAGCAGCAGTCTCAATCATCGCCAGAAGAGTAGGGGACAGCTGCAGACGAAAATAACCGGCATGACCGAAAGAACAAAATCTCTGCACCAGAGGAGAGCATGAAGCTCCCTGACCCGATCCCCAGAGGCCAATGCCAACAGGAAAGAGCCTCCGAGAAACAAACCGGAACCGAAGGGGCCGCAACAAACTGAAGAGAAGAAAGAAAAGAGAGCACTCTGTCCAATGACCAGGAAGGCTCAGGCAACGCATGAGCAGGCCGGAGGCGAAACAACGCTCGAGATAGCTTGCGAAAACGGCGCAGAAGAAACATGAACACCGAACGCAAGCTGAAGCAGCTCCACCAGCGCCTCACAATACGAGGCGACAGTATGTGGCAAAATGACAGCCTGGAACCCCCACAAGAGAAGGACAAGAACCACGCCCACAAAACACAGCCACCTAAGAAGGGACAGAAGTAAAAAGGAAGGACTGCCAAAAAACCCCACAATGCCGCCAAGAAGCACGTAGGTGGGACACCATCAACGAAGCCACTTGATCACCAACAGAAGACGGGCGGTAGGATGGTAGTCCGCGAATTAGTTAAGTATTCTCAGGATATTTACGTACCAGTGAGGCCAAAACATAGTTTTTGGTCATATTAATTAAGGGTACAGCAACGCAGTGATAATACATCATAGTGAATTCTTATAACGTTGGATAAGAAAAAAATTGAAAAAGAACGAGTTTGTGGGAAGACAGTGGTACCAGCGGGCTGAGAAGGGAAGAATTTGGACCACCACGAGGAGAGGAGCTCTGGCCTACAGGGACGTCAACAATTAAGGCGCCTGTAGGCCAGAGTGTAATTACAACACCCAAATGTTAAGGTGGACATTGCGTCATAAATCACCTAGTTGTGCTTTGGGATGCTTACTTGGAGGTGAGTGCCTCTCAAAGTCAGTCATACGAGGTGTACAGTGTTTTTTATATAACAATAAGATTTGGACTTAAGTTAAAATATGAAAAAGTAGCTCGAGAGTCTCAGCTTGGTACTAGTTTTTTCACACCTGTATGTTACATTACACCGCCACCGACTAGCCCCCACCCTCACCATAACACGCCAATGTAAACACACACGCACACACACACGCACGCGCACACACACACGCACGCACACACACACACGCACGCACACACACACACGCACACACACACACGCACGCACGCACGCACGCACGCACGCACAAACCAGCCTACCGCCAACCTCACCCCTCACCCCCAGGACTGACCTTCCTTCCTCACCCACCTGATTGCCCTCCTTCCTCTCTCCCCCACTCTGCCTCTCTCCCCTCACTCCCTCTCCCTCACTCCCTTTCACTCCCTCTCCCTACATCCCTCCACCAGTTAACCCCACCCCCCCACCATGCCACCCCCACAATAAACACACACACACACACACACACACACACACACACACACACACACACACACACGAAACTTGAAAGGAAATATAATAAATGAAGTCATATTCCCAAGAGGCTACTCAGTTTGGAGACGTGACAGGAAAACTAGGAAGGGAGGAGGAGTGGCTGTACTGGTGAAAAAACACCTGAAGGTAAAAGAGTTAATATTTGAAAACCCTCGAGATATTGACATAATGGCATTGCAGGTCTGGAATCAGGATGATAACCTGATAATTGTAAATACCTACAGCCCACCAGCAAGCAACACGTGGACAAAGGAAGAACTGGATGACAAACGAGAGGGCCTCATAATGGTCATGAGAGATATTATTGTACAAGCAGATAAAGATAAATCACGACTGTTGATACTGGGGGACTTCAACTTTAGAGCAATAGACTGGGAGGCCTATGAAGCAAGAACGGAGGACTTTTGGACATGCAGATTTGTGAACCTCATTCTGGAGACATTCTTGTATCAACACATAAAGCAAGCCACAAGAATGAGGGAAGGAGATATACCGTCAGTACTGGATCTAGTATTCACCAGGAAAGAAGAAGAGATTTTTGACATCCAGTACCTTCCTCCCTTGGGAAAGAGTGATCACGTCCTGTTAGACATTAAATATGCTTTAAGATATCATCTAGAAGAAAATGGGGACATTGAAACAGTTGATAAACTCGATTTAAAGAGAGGCAACTATGGGGAACTTCGAAATTTTTTTAATGAGTGTAATTGGACAGAATTGTTGCTAGGCAGGGAAGTAAATGAAATGTATGCCAAATTTTTAAAAACTATACGAGGAAGGCACACAAACATTCATACCAAAACAGAGATGCAGGACCAGAAAACAGGATTGGTTCGACAGAAATTGTGAGAGGGCAAGAGACCAAAAGACACAAAAATGGAATCAGTATAGGAAGAGGCCAAACCCCCAAACATACCAGCGATACAAAGATGCGAGAAACAATTATACAGCAGTAAGGAGAGAGGCAGAAAGAAATTTTGAAAAAGGGGATAGCAGATAAATGTAAAACAGAACCGGGCCTATTCTACAAATTCATAAACAACAAATTGCAGGTAAAGGATAATATCCAGAGGTTGAAAATGGGAAACAGATTCACGGAAAATGAAAAGGAAATGTGTGAAACATTAAATGAAAAGTTCCAAAGTGTGTTTGTACAAAATGAAATCTTCAGAGAACCAGACACAATAAGAATTCCAGAGAACAACATAGAGCGGATAGAGGTGTCTAGAGATGAAGTGGAAAATATGCTAAAGGAGCTCGGTAGGAACAAAGCAGCTGGCCCAGATGGCGTTTCACCATGGGTTCTGAGAGAATGTGCATCTGAGCTCAGCATTCCACTTCACCTGATCTTTCAGGCATCCCTGTGTACAGGAATCGTAGCAGACGTGTGGAAACAGGCTAACATAGTTCCAATCTACAAAAGTGGCAGCAGGGAAGACCCCCTCAATTATAGACCTGTATCATTGACAAGTGTAATAGTGAAAGTATTGGAAAAGCTAATCAAAACTAAATGGGTAGAACACCTGGAGAGAAATGATATAATATCAGACAGACAGTATGGTTTTCGATCTGGAAGATCCTGTGTATCGAATTTACTCAGTTTCTATGATCGAGCCACAGAGATATTACAGGAAAGAGATGGCTGGGTTGACTGCATCTATCTGGACCTAAAAAAGGCTTTCGACAGAGTTCCACATAAGAGGTTGTTCTGGAAACTGGAAAATATTGGAGGGGTGACAGGTAAGCTTCTATCATGGATGAAAAATTTTCTGACTGATAGAAAAATGAGGGCAGTAATCAGAGGCAATGTATCGGAATGGAGAAATGTCACAAGTGGAGTACCACAGGGTTCAGTTCTTGCACCAGTGATGTTTATTGTCTACATAAATGATCTACCAGTTGGTATACAGAATTATATGAACATGTTTGCTGATGATGCTAAGATAATAGGAAGGATAAGAAATTTAGATGATTGTCATGCCCTTCAAGAAGACCTGGACAAAATAAGTATATGGAGCACCACTTGGCAAATGGAATTTAATGTTAATAAATGTCATGTTATGGAATGTGGAATAGGAGAACATAGACCCCACACAACCTATATATTATGTGAGAAATCTTTAAAGAATTCTGATAAAGAAAGAGATCTAGGAGTGGTTCTAGATAGAAAACTATCACCTGAGGACCACATAAAGAATATTGTGCAAGGAGCCTATGCTATGCTTTCTAACTTCAGAATTGCATTTAAATACATGGATGGCGATATACTAAAGAAATTGTTCATGACTTTTGTTAGGCCAAAGCTAGAATATGCAGCTGTTGTGTGGTGCCCATATCTTAAGAAGCACATCAACAAACTGGAAAAGGTGCAAAGACATGCTACTAAGTGGCTCCCAGAACTGAAGGGCAAGAGCTACGAGGAGAGGTTAGAGGCATTAAATATGCCAAAACTAGAAGACAGAAGAAAAAGAGGTGATATGATCACTACGTACAAAATAGTAACAGGAATTGATAAAATCGACAGGGAAGACTTCCTGAGACCTGGAACTTCAAGAACAAGAGGTCATAGATTTAAACTAGCTAAACACAGATGCCGAAGAAATATAAGAAAATTCACCTTCGCAAATAGAGTGGTAGACGGTTGGAACAAGTTAAGTGAGAAGGTGGTGGAGGCCAAGACCGTCGGTAGTTTCAAAGCGTTATATGACAAAGAGTGCTGGGAAGACGGGACACCACGAGCGTAGCTCTCATCCTGTAACTACACTTAGGTAATTACACTTAGGTAATTACACACACACACACACACACACACACACACACACACACACACACACACACACAGACTACTCGAGCGTAGCAGGCACCTAGTACTGGCATTTGGTCGTGTTCATAAGTGGAGCAGTTCTATATACATTTTTCTTGGAAGGGTGGGCTAGTGATTAGCATAGCTCACTCTCAAATGTTCAGCCCTGCGTTCGATTCCCGGACAAAGCGAGAGTTTAGATACGTTTTTAGGAAGCATCGTGGTCAGACTGGGAGGTCGGATCCGGTGTTCACGCGGTCACCAGTTCGAACTCATTTCTTGTTGTAGTTTCAAAGCGTTATATGACAAAGAGTGCTGGGAAGACGGGACACCACGAGCGTAGCTCTCATCCTGTAACTACACTTAGGTAATTACACTTAGGTAATTACACACACACACACACACACAAAGGGTGAATAAGGGAAAACTTAAGCCACAGGAAACAGCGAGTAACGGTGAGGGGGGAAGACATCAGAGTTGTGAGTTGTCACCAGCGGAGTCCCACAGGGCTCAGTACTTGGACCCATCCTGTTTCTAATATATGTAAACGATCTTCCGGAGGGTATAGACTCATTCCTCTCAATGTTTGCTGATGATGCAAAAATTATGAGAAGAATCAAGACAGATGAAGATAGACATGTAGATAGGTCTCTACAGGATGACCTGGATAAACTGGAGGAATGGTCTAGAAAATGGCTGCTAAAGTTCAACTCGGGAAAGTGTAAGGTGATGAAATTAGGCGAAGGGAGCAGGAGGCTGAACACAAGGTATCATCTGGGAGGTGAAATCCTGCAAGAGTAAAATAGAGAGAAAGATCTGGGGGTTGATATCACACCGAACCTGTCCCCAGAGGCCCACATCAAAAGAATATCATCAGCGGCATATGCTAGACTGGCCAACATAAGAACTGCCTTTAGAAACTTCGTGTAAGGAATCATTCAGGACCCTGTATACCACTTATGTAAGACCAATCCTGGAGTATGCAGCTCCAGCCTGGAGTCCATACCTAGTTAAACACAAGACAAAGCTAGAGAAGATTCAGCGGTATGCCACCAGCCTCGACCAGGAACCGAGAGGAATGAGCTACGAGGAAAGGCTAAAGGAGCTGAACCTCACATCCCTGGAAAACAGAAGAGTAAGGGGGGAGACATGATAACCACCTACAAAATTCTCAGGGAAATTGACAGGGTGGACAAAGACAAACTCTTCAGCACGGGTGGAACACGAACAAGGGGACACAGGTGGAAACTTAGTACCCAGATGAGCCACAGAAACATTAAAAATAAATTTTTCAGTGTAGGTGATTCTTGAGCCCAGTAGGCTCAGCAATCTGTACACCAGTTGATTGACAGTTGAGAGGCGGAACCAAAGAGCCAAATGCAGGCGATGAGTCACGATAACGTGGCTGAAGTATGTTGACCAGACCACACACTAGAAGTTGAAGGGACGACGACGTTTTGGTCCGTCCTGGACCATTCTCAAGTCAATTGTGATGAGGAGGTAGAGACAGGCAATAAATAGGCAAGAGAGAGCTGAGGAGGAAAGTAAGGTGTAGGGGATAGTAGTAATAATGAGAACTGCAGAAGGCCTATTGGCCCATACGAGGCAGCTCCTATTATAACCACCGAAGGAGATAGTAATAGGAATAAGAAGAGGATAGCAAGGGAGCGTAGGAGAAGACAATGAACACAAAAAGGGGAGAAGAGAGAAAGAAAAGGAAAGAGAAAGAAAGATAAATGGAAGGGGGAAAGCTTATGTTAAGTCACGTTTGTTAGAAAGATTAGAGCATTTGAGTATATACTGTGAAAGGGAAGAGTCCACAGCAACAAAGCCAGGACTCAAGTTCATGTTGGGTACATTGTTAATAAGAGCTGATTCTACAAGACGGCGTCTGTGTAGAGTAGAGGCAGGAAAGATTATTTTGGAGGAAGACCAATCAATGGGATGATTAGAATCCCTCACATGGCAGAAGAGAGCATTGTTAGTGTCTGCAGACTTAACACTTCTCTTGTGTTCTTTAAGTCTGTCATTCAGTGTATGGCCAGTTTCGGCCGTACACTGGCCATACACTGAATGACAGACTTAAAGAACACAAGAGAAGTTCTCTCAAACAGTGGAGTGTTCATGAGCTATTGCTCCTTTCGCCTCTCTGAGGGAACCAGGTTCTGGCTCGTGGTTCCCGGTAGTCATAAGGACTCCAGTAACTGATGCTCTAAACTAATATGGCGGATATCAGTCAACTAGCAGCAGGGGGTTCCCCCCCCCCCCAGAAGATACTAGTTGCCAACTCATTATTATTGCCACATTTGCTTGCAACTCGACAATAATATCGACAAAAGTTTAGGAATGACTCTGAACCACTTAAAATAAGTTTGTCACAAACCTAAAAAATTTTCTTAACCATTTCACTTGTCATATTATATTCACTGAAATACTATATGCTTAAATAACAGTAACTACAATCAAGTGATGCCTACCTTTACAACTATTCTTGTATCAGAATGTTCGGAAATAATAGTCTGCGAGGGATACTGATCAACCTGCTGCTTAATAGCAGTTGAAATTGCTGGGACGAACATAAGAGGATTCAAGTCCAAGTCATCACACAGAAGCTCTGCAAACTGCTCTGGACTTACAAGCATTTCTGGAGGAAAAAATAGGAAGTATAGTTTTTAAAAGCTTCATGTTGGAAAATACAGACAGGGACTGGGAGAACATCTGGAACCAAGAATTTTGTTTCTTTTTCATACTACCTAAAAATTTATTGTTTTAATTTTTCATGGTATATATTGAAAGAACACCCTCTTTGCCTTGGAAATATAATAAAACTTAATAGCACCATCCTCACTCCCCCTTCTTAAAAATAAACTATTCGCATTTGTTGAGTTTTAATGTTGTTTTGGATATTCAAAAACGTAACTTTATTTACCATGAAATTTGTATTTACTTTTTTATATATCACCAAGTCATTTATATATAAACAAAATAAGTCGTTTTCTTAAATGTAAATTTTTTGGGGGTTGAAACAAGTGCAGGATCATAAGGGTTAAGATAGAGTTATGAAGGTTTGGCTTTGCAAGGGGTTTTCCCCAAGAATGTTTCCTCCTCACATAAATTGTGGACGGTCTGTTCTGAATTCCTCAAATAATGTTTGAAGATGGGTACATTGTCTGATGAATAAAATATTCATAGCCAAGATACAAGAAAAGACAGGAATTCTTAAAAAAAAACAATAAATAAATAAATAAGTCGTTGAATGTAATAAAATGCCATTTTCTGGGTGAACCCCAGAAGCTCCCTGAAGCTATTCGACTCGTATGCGATATATTAGTCTGGGGCATCAGTCAACTGGAGTTCAGCCTACCGGGAATCACAAGCCAGAACCTGTCCCCCCCCCCTCAGAGAAACGCAGGGAGCAATGGCCTATGGAACCAACCGTGGTTGGGGGCATTCCACGTCTGCCATCGACAGAGGTTGGCACCCAGAAAATGACATTTCATTACATTCAACATTGGTTTTCTGTGGGGAAAGGGTTCCCTTTGGCTCCCTGGAGATACATATTCAAAGATAGGGAAAAATAGGGACTTACCCACGGCTGCCACACATTCATAACTAAGTCAAGACAACTGGCTGCAACCCGTGACCCAAAGCCACACACGAACGACCAGGACCAGGAATACTGACCAAATAAGGGTCAGGCCAGGAAAGGGCCAGGACCCTGTTTGACCTCCAAAGTCCCCATGCCCGAATGATAGCCCAAGACATGTTGCCAAACACGGCAGCCAAAGAAGCAAACTTACAAATGTCATGGGCACAAGGATAAACCACAGGCTGCCTAGACATAATAACCCTGAGGATGACCTGGGAGACCCAAGCCCTGGAACAGGGAATTAGGGAAACCGGATCAACCCAGAGCTCGTCCCCGACCACTGAGGTCAAGGAACATAGATAGCCACAACCAGACACATTCACATGATGCACCCATGGCCTGACCAACCAAGCATCAATGACCCAAGGGCCCCTCTGGAAAGCCACCTTCTCATTCTCGCCAAAAATAAAGACGACGACGACTGCAACCGAACAAACAGACCACCAGGACCGAAGGAGCACAAACCCCTGGGTCGGAGGAGAGCATGTAGCTTGTCAACCCGACCCCCAGAGGCCAATGCCCACAGAAACAGAGCCTTGGAAAAACAATCTTGAACCGAAGGGGCCACCACAAACTGAGGAGCAAAGAGAAAAGCGAGCACCTGGTCCAAGGACCAGGACGGATCAGGCTGCGCATTAGCAGGCCGGAGGTGAAACAAACCGCGAGAAAGCTTACGAAATGGCGCCGACGCAACATCCATCATGAACGCAAGCTGAAGCGGCTCTACCAGCGATGCACGATATGAGACGGCAGTATTCTGCATCAAATGACAGTCCTGAAAAAACCAAGAAAGTACAAAAAACTCTATCTGAAATAGAAGACAACCTACGAAGAGAGAGAAAATGAAGAAAAGATTGCCAGGAGACTTCATAATGGTTTCTGAGACAAAGCTTGCAGGTGGGACCCCATCAAAGAAGCCACCTGATCACCATACAAGTGGTGATACACCCGCATCAAAAAGACCAGACACAAAGAGCGGAGGAGTAGACCGAACCAGCCATGTACCAGACTGGTCCAATCTGCTGAAATAGGTGGAGCCGAGGAAAACACCCTGGGTTCGGACACCGAACAAGCAGCGCCTGAAACCAAGGCTGGGCCAGCCACCAAGGGGCCACCAGGACTACTCCCCTGGTAAGTCTCCAACTGTGTCAGGACTTGAAGCAACAGCTGGACCGGGAAGCAAGAGGCTGGACCTCGCCTCAAATAGTCCTGTCGAAAGGCGTCCACCGCGACAGCTCCACAGTCGGGAGAGGGCACCACACGTATATCTGGATGAAACCACACCAATGCGAAGAGGTCCACCTCTAGGGGACCGTCCGTCCGGCAGAGCCACCTGAAGGAGTCGGTGTCGACTGTCTATTCCGTGGACAGGGGGATGAGCCGAGACAGGCCATCCGCCAGGATGCTGTACACTCCCTGGATATGAACCACACGGAGAGCCAAATCCCGAAAATCCAGCAGACGAGTCACTCAAAGCGACTAGCCCCAAAGAGACAAGGACCGAAGAGAACCCCCATGGTTCAGATAATGAACCACCGGAGAGCAGTCCGAATGGAGCCAGATTGTAGAACCCTGAGCGACCTGAACCTTACGAAGCGACAACCAAACCGCCGCAAACTCCCGCACCGTGCTGTGAGCCCCATGCCCAGAAACTCACACCAAGAACTACCACGATGGTGAAATGTGGATTTCAGAGTACAATCTTTTCAGATGTGACAGGAAACACAGGCTACAGGGTGGGGTCAGCCTGTACATCAAGGACACACTCATCTGCACTGAGCTGCTAAACACCACAAATGATATGGTGGAAGTGCTGATAATCAAAACAGAGATCTTAAATGTAGTTATTGTCCTTGTATATAAGACACCAGAGGCAAATCATCAGTTTAAAGACCAACTTATGAAAATAGAACACTGCTTGGAAAACCTCACAAATCCGGCCCCAAACATCATCCTGCTTGGAGACTTCAACCTACAGCACCTGAAATGGAAGAACCTAGCTTATACAGTTATATCAGAAAGAATACCAGGGAGTAGCCTAAATGAACAGACACATGCAAATGACCTGCTACGGATGTGCAACAGGTTTGCCTTAAACCAGCAAATAGTAGAACCAACTAGGAAGGAGAACACGCTGGACCTCATTTTCACTAATAATGATGAATTGATCAGGAACATAATTATTACAAATACCTGTTACTCAGATCACAACTTAATTGAAGTTCTGACAAGCATGGGGAATAGACCTTCAAAACCAGTCCTGATTCCCAGTGGAGGAGATTTCAGTAAATTCAACTTTAATAATAAACAGATAAACTGGGAGCAAATAAACCAGGACTTCACAGAAATAAGCTGGGAAGAACAGCTAGAAAATGCAAACCTGAACCAGTGCCTGGAAAAAAATAAGCTCAGTAGCACTAGAAATATGTTCAAACTGCATACCCCTAAGAAAAAAGAGGAAGAGATGCAGATTGGAATGGGAACGTCGTTCCCTCTATAGGAGAAGAAAACGAATCGTGGGACAACTTGAGAGTCGCACCATATCTCAAGAACGGCGAAGAAGGTTAGGTAGAGAAATAGAAACAATTGAACTAAAGCTACAGGAATCATACAAAACCCAGGAGAGGCAAAGAGAGCAAAAGGCCATCAGTGAAATAGAGAGAAATCCTAAATATTTTTTCTCCTATGCAAAATCAAGATAAAAAATCACATCTAGTATCGGGCCCCTGCGAAAGGGAGATGGAACTTTCACTGATGACAACAAAGAAACGAGCGAAATACTGATGAATCAGTACAACTGTTTTCAGCGAGCCACTAAACACACTGAAGATTGATAACCCAAATGAATTTTTCATGGATATGACACCAATATCAAATCATATATCAGATGTCACCCTATCCCCACTGGATCTTTTGAAGAAGCCATAGACAGTATGCCTATGCACTCTGCACCAGGCCTTGATTCTTGGAACTCCATATTCATCAAGAACTGTAAAAAAAACACTATCGCAGGCCCTTCACATTCTTTGGAGACAAAGCCTAGATACTGGCATTATCCCTGACATACTAGAAACTGCAGAGATAGCACCACTCCATAAAGGAGGAAATAAGGTGGAGGAAATAAGGTAGAGGCAAAAAATTACAGACCGATAACATTAACCCTCAAACCGCGCATATCATATATAAATGATATCAGTGACAAAACCGAAACCGCGCACATCATTTATATATGATTTCGTGTCTAGTGCTATAATTTAAACTCCCCGCCTGGGATAGGGGCAGCTATAGTACAGCCACGACCAATAGTTGCCAGATGCCACCTAGAAAAAAAATCCAGGCCAACATTCTTGGGTGTTACAGCGTCAGTATTGAGCAAGCCACCAAGGCTGGCGCACGCAGCACGAGCACACAGCACCGCTGTTCAGCTTGTGACCACAGCATCGCCTACAAATACCATAATATATATGATACTGCTATTATTTAGCAGTGATAGTATTACTGAAGCCCCCTGACTGTGATAAAACTGACCAGGATTCTGATAATAGCAGGATTGTGGTGATATTTAGCGCTGTGCTCCATGGAGGGAGGCGTAAGGCTGTGCGAGGGAGGGTTGTGGCGTCGTCTTCTGACTGTGTGTGGCCACCATTTATTGACTGCACTCACCATACCAGCTTAGTGGTTCGATATGGTGAACATAAATGTAGATACTTACATATAACGTGTGTATAGAGTGTGATAACAGCGAGAGGAGTAGGTTGGGAGCCGCCATTTTGGTGAGGGAAGAGCGTCGTCTGCACGTCTTGGCATGGTGTTTACTGATGGCCACTATGGTCTTTGGGCACCATACCAGCTTATTTGTTCAGGTATGGTGAATAAAACAGGTAGATACTTATATATAATATGTGTATATAGCGTAATAACACCACAAACAATATTGTTGAAGGAGAAATATTAGTGCGTCTGGCCTTGAGGGCGGCCGCCGATCAGCTGACTGT